ATACTGTTTTGGACTTTGGTGGGAGTAGAGGGGGGTGAATTGAGCAGGGCTGAAATAATGAGCAGACAGCAACTGCTGAATGCATGATGCGTAAAGCAGGCTACATTGGCTGGGTACCTTCATAGCTTGCAGCTAAATGTGGTAATGCACATTATTTATCATTTAGAACTCAGTGGCCTGACGTTCCCTGAAAAAGTAAAGTGGTTTTTAAAATGTGATTGAACAGAGCTAAATGAAAGGCCAGTTCAAAATGCATTAAGCAACAAGGATATGGAACTGGCAGTTGGTGAGCTTCTTTTCACTGCAGTAAATTTCTAATGTTATTTTGGTGTAACTAAATACCTCCTCAAGAGAATAATAATCATTCCCTGCTGTCAGTAGGGGTGGGATTCACCTCATCTAGAACGAACCCTGTGACAGAGGTGTCTGGGCTCCTTGCTGTCAGGGGTAACAGAGTGCAGCTGTATTGCTAAGGGAGAGCCCGTTGCCAGTGTGTTCATGCGGCTGGTTTGGGGTGGGAGGAGTGGCCCTCCGGAGCAGCAGCATTTCTTCACTGATTTTACAAGAACCTGGCTGTCAGCAGAAACCAGCAGGGGACTGATGCCTGCTGCAGCTGCCTCCCAGCTCCTCGGTGTTGTGTGTGACCTTCCCCAGGCTGTATCCCATCAGTATACCCTTCCCTCCTGTTTCACTTCCCTCACTGCCTTACTGTCTGGCACCAGTGGCAGGGAGTCGTCTGGAGGTATGGTCTTGCCAACAGCCTTCACTGTGGCAGCTTCCATAGCAATGTCCCCCTTGTATGCCTCATCTTCCCCCTTTGATCTTCACCTTTGGGTCAGTGTGAGCTCTCATAGAATCATAGAATCACTATGGTTGGAGAGGTCCTCTAGGATCATCAAGTCCAACCTCCATCCCAACATTTCCCTATCCACTAGACCATAGCCTAAAGTGCTACATCTACTTGTTTTTTGAATGCCTCCAGGAATGATGAATCCACCACCTACCCGGGCAGCCTGTTCCAGTTCCTAACCACTCTCTCAGTGAAGAAATTCTTCCTAATATCCAGTCAAAACCTCCCCTGGCACAACTTGAGGCCATTTCCCCTTGTCCTATCATCAGTAATTTGGGAGAAGAGACCAACACCAGCCTCACTACAACCTCCTTTTATGTAGTTGTAGAGGGCAATAAGGTCGCCTCTGAGTCTCCTCTTCTCCAGACTAAACAGCCCTATCTCCCTCAGCCACTCCTCATAAGGCATGTTTTCCAGCCCTCTCACCAGCCTCGTTGCCCTTCTCTGGACCCGCTCCAGCACCTCCATGTCCTTCTTATCCTGTGGTGCCCAGAACTGGACACAGGACTCAAGGTGCGGTCTCACCAGTGCCGAGTCCAGGGGCACCATCACCTCCCTGTTCCTGCTGGTCACACCATTTCTGATTCAGCCTGTTGTCTCATGTGATGATGCTCAGGGAGAGCAGAAGGGAAGTCTCCTGACCCTCCTTTCCCATGGCCTCCATGTTTGTCCATGTTGATGACCATCCCTCATTCCAGTGTATGAGATTTTTGTGGTGGTGGCGTAATGAGCCTGTGCTTTCCTGCTGTAGCAGGGAAAGGTTCTCCTATACTGTAGGCTGTAGTGCAGCCTTTCCCCACCCTACAAACTTCTATTCATTTGTAGCTATACTGGGGGGCTCATGTGCCCCGTGGATCAGCTCAGTGCTGGTGTAGAGCAGGGAAAGGAGCCAAGCTCTGCCTCATGAGACATGGGTGCAGCTGCCGGGCTGTGGGATGGGAGCCAGTGAAGACTGCCTGGTACTTGTTGCCGGAGGCATGGCAGCAGGGCCATGCTTGATGGTTGGAAAATTCCTTCCAAACTCTCTGGAAAGCCAGTGTTGTCCCATAGGCCTTGTAACCGAGTTCAAGTCAGACACGACTGTTGGCTACAGATGATGTCATCAGCGTGGTGCACTCGTTCCTGAATGCTTCCTCTGTCAGCTTGTGTTTGCTGTGCCCTGAGCGACTGCTGGTTTGCTTCCATACCCAGCAGACCGAGATTTTAATTTATTGTGTTTAAATTTTTTAGCAGAAATGTAATGGAACTGCACTGAATCGACATCTCTGTGAGACCTGAGAGTTCCTGCTTTTGTGCATGTTGTACTTCTCCTTCTGGTCCTACAAGACCAGAGCATCATCAGACTCTAGATCTCTGCTGATTTTATCTGTACAGTGTTTCCCTTGAATAAACTGTCATATTTTATTTTGAGGTCGACTGATCAAAGCTAAGATGAATTTAGAATAATAATCTTATTTACAACTACTTGAGTAAGAAGCATTTCATGTTACTTGGGCACCCTCCAGACAAAATGCCGAGTGACATAAATGCTACAAGACTGCCATTCCACCCTCTAAATGCCCGTGAGACAAAAAAAAAACCTTTATGAAACCACCCAGCAGGTTTTAATCAGCTGTTTTTCTTCATGGGATCAACAGGCTTGCTCTCCTCAGCTAACCTTGGGCAGTGTGGTAAGCAGGTGGGCTCTCTGCCTTTTTTCCTGTCAGTCAAAAATTTCCACACTCATAGAGATGCCTTTTCTTTCCACGGGAGGAATGAGAAAGTTTGGTCTTTGCCAGACAGGAGTCCACCACGTACTTTCGTACCTAGGACAGCAGGTTTCCATTCTTCTGGTTGTGCATGAGGATGAAAGGAAATACCCTCTGCTTCCTGCTGCAAGGGTGGCTGAGAAATGTGTCCGTCCACTCTCTGGCAGCCCCAGCCAAACTGTGGAGGCCTGAGACCAGCCTAGGAGCAGGAGAATTTGCCTCAAGTTTCTAAACCACTTGTAGGTATATTTTCACAGCAGTAAGCTAATACCGTTATTATACTCAATCTAATGTCTTTTTAATATCACTCTGTTGCCCCCAGCAAAATGCACTTGGTGGGAAGCTCTTTCATTAAGAGATGATGTGTGTCTGGAAGTGCTGACATACAGCAATGGATGGAGTGGAAAATATGGGAAGCTTTCTGTTAGAACTGACACAAGGCACGATGACCACTGTGGGCTGGGTGGTGGTCATCAGGGTTGCTTTCAGTTTAATGAAGTTGCAGAGCATCAAGCAAGGACATTCAAGTATATTTGCACTTGAGACTTATTTTCAATGGCACTACATTGGGTAAAAATGCTCTGTCTAGAAAAATAGATGCCTTTTTTCCTCGCTTTCTCTGTATCCTCTTATATGACATTTTGGTGTGAATTATTTTAGTTACTGCAAGACTGGTTAAGATGAATGCTTATAAATATTAATATTTCTATCTGCAATTTTTCTTCATATGTTTTCTGACAGTATTCATGAGACTAATATTTGCTATAGCTAACATTAACAAACAGTTAATATAATAATCTAAGTGACCACTTCCTGGTGGCATAAGTCTGTTAGAGGCACTGGGGGTATGTTGGGCAAAAACCTGCTCAGCAAGTTCCTGGGCAGGTGAGCTTGGCTCCTTCTTTCTGACTTTCAAAACCAGCCAGGCTTGAAGGATTTGGTCGGTGTCCTGCATTGCCGGGGTGACCGCACCACTGTGGTGGCACGTATGTCCCATGCCTTCCCTAGAAAAACATCATCCTTCTAATTTCTCTGGCGTGAGCCACACTGCTGGGTAGTTACTTTTTACAGTCCATATTAGACAATAAATAAAGTACATTTGGAAAGATGCCTTGTACTTCGGGTTGGGGCTGAAAATCAGGGGTGGAAAACAATGGGGATTTATTTTTTGATGTCTCAGTGAAACAGAGACCAAACTGCATTAATGGCACATCTGGGAGACGAGATGGAGCTGCCCACTCACAAGGAGCCTGGTGGTACGAGCACTGCCTGGAGATTCGGGGACCTAGGCTCACTCAGGTGTGAGCCAGGGCCTCTGGATTGCCCACCTCTAATTGTTTTCTTCTCTTCACTTGGTTCCTGCTGGTTTATTTTGCTCAGATAATTATTTACTGGGCAGAAGGGGAAAGGGCCAAGCTGTAGGTGGAGTTCAAGGGCACTCATCTGGGTTGTAATGGGTCTCTTGCAACAGTGCAGTTCGTGCAGTTTAACGTGTTATTATTTGTTCTGCAGTGAGTGGAGATCTATGTTTCAGGGCCTCTTGAGTTAAAATAGGTGCATTTGTCCAAGGAACAAAATATTTGATTTCAGTGATTGGCCTTTTTCTACAGAAACAGTGTTTTTTGCTGAAGATTTGCTGATGAGCTGTAGTTTACAGTATTTGCTGCAGGTGTGGATGAACTGATGCACTGATGAGAAGAATCTTTACAATCAGCAAAGTGGCGGCTCTGGGGGCTAATGTTGGGCTAGAACATCTGGTCTTTACAGGGGGAAGACTTCCAGTGTGTGGAAAGAAGTGCTTGCTCTTGGCTCTTCCAAATTGCTCAACAGCTCCATTAAGGTAGCTCAGACAGGCCTTGACCAGCTCGGTGCCTCACAGCAGGAGGAGCTCATCTGAAGTCAGAACCCAGGACTTGAGCCTGTTGTGCATCAAGTGGTGTCCAGCAAACCCTCGAACCCTTGTGTTTTGTGTGACAGGTCTGTGGTGAATGTTTTGGTTTCAGTACACGGATGTACATAGCACCACCTGACATGCCTTGAAGGGCCATGGGATGGAACAGTTGTCCTGTGAAATTCACAGTAGAAGTTAACCTGGGCAGACATAAGAAAACTATAGCCCAAATTGCCTTCTTATACCTCTTCTATTTCATGGTGTTTTTCCCTCAAAAATAAAAACATATTAAAGGTGGATTTTGATCTGCTATCCAGGGATGTGTGGATATTTTCTGTAGCTTTAAAACTTGTAATTTTTGTCACCTGCTCTTCAGGTACAGTTGGAATATTCACTGATTCTGTAAACTGTTTTCACACTGTTGTTTGCTGGACGATTTCTTAGCGTAATAATTTTTCTGCCACTAATTAAAATCATCTTTGTAACCCTAGGCTTTGTTTTCCTTTTCCAGCAAAGAGCTCCAGGGAAGGTTTTGCATGATGCTGTTTGCAACCACCTGAATCTCGTTGAAGGCGACTATTTTGGCCTTGAATTTCCAGACCATAAAAAGATGATGGTATGTAAAAGAATTAATTTTCAGCTATTTTTGATCTACATACACACTGTATTCTCTCCTTTTGCTCCTTACTTATAAGGTATATTTAATCCTCAATATCCAAAAGAAGAAAGGACTTCTTTTTTAAAAAGTGCCCTTGCCTGCTGGAGTTGAAGAAATATTTTAAAAACCTGATTACTCCTGTCAGATTTCATCTGTGTTGAAAGTAACAGCTAATTCAGCCACAAGTTGGAAATGCATTTTATCTTTATCAGTTGCAGCAGAGAAGCCAAAGACTGGACTGTTGCAGAGTCTCAACTCTAATTTTACAGTCCTGC